GTCATTAAGTAAGGGCAATTGTTTCCTAGTCTGCATGGAACAGTATGCAGAAGGAAACATTTATTTTAGGAAACAGAATGACCCATTTTCAACATCCAAAGTACGTGTCAGCTATTTAGAAATATGTTAGCGAACAAGCTGAGGTCGACGATTCGATCAAAACGTCTAGGTCTTCTCTTAAAAGAGTTTTGTTGTTGCTGCACGATAACGCCCGTTATCAGATGGATGCGTACAGTGGATACGCTACAGATTTGAATTATTGAGACATCCAGCATTCAGCCCAGACTTGGCACCATCTGACTTTCATTTGTCTGGCCTATTGAAAGAACCACTAGTGGGGATGTGCAGAGGCCAATGAGGAAATGTCGGTCGTGCAAACTTGTTGCTGGCCATACCTGAAAGCTTCTATGTGCTTCTACTGCTTCCGGTCAAAATAGACGCTAGGCACGGTCACTGTTGTGAGCCGTGGCAAATTCTTTTTGCTTCTGCCAGACGGTGGCCGGTGCATTTTTGCTTTATTTAAAGACTGAAAGGGCATAGTTTCGTCGTCCAGCTTCTGAGTTGAGTGCATAGCATGACACTGTGAGCTGCTGTTTTCTTTTTGAATGCTTTTTTACTGTTACCAACGTGGTGTTATGAATTGTAGATTCAGAAAATGGGGCGATTCCTGTTGTCGCAATATTGGTGGTGCCATTATGTGATTAAAATTGATCGCACATGCAACTGCTGATCTGTTGGTGACTTCTGCTACTATCCAAGATAAACTGCATTTCTAATGTCAGACGGTTTGTGTTAGCACTTCGGATAGCTACCGTATGCTTTAAATGCGTGTGTGTGTTAGTGCATATGCAGAGACAGCAGTCTGTCAATCTTTCCACAAGGGACTGTGATAAACATTCTGTGTGTTTTTTATTGGCACAGGAGCGGAGCAACTATGGGGTGACCTGTTTGCTATGAAGCTGAAACTAAGATTACCAGATTCTACATACAGGCATCGACAGACCTCTGGAGCAAGGGACCACATGTGTTACAAGGCAGGAAGACAATGTCGAGAAACAGGACATAGAACGATTCTGTTCCGGTGGCTTGTAAAAATCTTATTTATGCAATTGCTTTTACTTAAGACACTGGTCTCGAGCATCTGTGGGGTGACCCGTTTGCTATGAAGCTGAAACTAGGATTACCAGATTACCAGACACTGGTCTCGAGGTATGGTGTCCGCCTCGAGTGCTGGAGGTCCCGGGTTCTAGCCCCGTTGAAGACTAATATTTTTTTTTTCACCTGGACTTCTAGTAATTTACCCTCTTTCTGTGTAGTACAACCAGACTCCTGTATCATTTTTTGCGCACGTAAAAAACTTCCTTGGCAGTTGGAAATGGAAAAGAGTAGCCTAACGACGCTGCGGGGGCAAAATTTAGAGTTAAAAATCTACCCAAAGTATTTCAGAATCCTTGCCGGTGCTACGGAGTTCGTGCACTGCGTTGAGATTCTTTACACACAGGGGCTTGAGTTAGAAGTTGAACTGAGCACTAATGGGCTACACAGGTGTGCCACGATGCTGATTCGTCGAAAAAACATAAACACGAACTTAATGACACCCCTTGTAATTACCTGACTGTTCACAATTCACATGCTGACTACTCACTGATTGATGCGGTATGTAATCATCTACGTCATCGTGTACTCAATGTTGTCGTCGTCGACTTCATCATCACCATCATCATCACAACCATCATCATTACAGCCATCATCATCACCATCATCACCATAATCATCATCATCATCATCATCATCATCACCATCACAATCACCATCATCACCATCATCATCATCATGATCACCATCAATATAATCATCAACATCCCCATCATCATCATCATCATCATCATCACCACCATCATCATCATCACCATCATCATCACAACCATCACCATTATCATATTCATAACCATCATCATCATCATCATCACCATCACTATAATCATCAACATCACCATAATCATCACCCTCATCATCACACTATCACTATAATCATTACCACCACCATCATGATCATCATCCCATTCATCATCACCCTTATCACCATCAACTTCATTATCATCTTCATCATTATCATCTTCATCATTATCATTATTATCATCACTATCATCGTCATCATCATCATCATCACCATCATCATTATCACCATCACGATGTCCATTTCATTTATAGAAAATCGCTGAAACATAATAATGGTGGCGAAAAGATTACCCACCCTCGGTTTTAGACTTAGAGATTTCCTACCCAGGGTGTCTTCAGCCTACTGTGTCCACCGTCGTGATTGTAGTACCCTGCCCTATTCCAGACACCATGCCTTTCATCACACATCCATGTAGCTTACCATGCCTTTCATCACACATCCATGTAGCTTCCCATGCTTTTCATCACACATCCATGTAGCTTCCCATGCCTTTCATCACACATCCATGTAGCTTCCCATGCCTTCTATCACACATCCATGTAGCTTCCCATGCCTTCTATCACACATCCATGAAGCTTCCCATGCCTTTCATCACACATCCATGTAGCTTCCCATGCCTTCTATCACACATCCATGTAGCTTCCCATGCCTTCTATCACACATCCATGTAGCTTCCCATGCCTTCTATCACACATCCATGTAGCTTCCCATGCCTTTCATCACACATCCATGTAGCTTCCCATGCCTTTCATCACACATTCATGTAGCTTCCCATGCCTTTCATCACACATCCATGTATCTTCCCATGCCTTTCATCACACATCCATGTAGCCTCCCATGCCTTTCATCACACATCCATGTAGCCTCCCATGCCTTTCATCACACATCCATGTAGCCTCCCATGCCTTTCATCACACATTCATGTAGCTTCTCATGCCTTTCATCACACATCCATGTATCTTCCCATGCCTTTCATCACACATCCATGTAGCCTCCCATGCCTTTCATCTCACAAACAAAACGTGTCCATGTAGCCAATCCCATGCCTTTCATCACACATCCATTGTAGCTTCCCATGCCTTTCATCACACATCCATGTAGCCTCCCATGCCTTTCATCACACATCCATGTAGCTTATCATGCCTTTCATCACACATCCATGTAGCTTCCCATGCCTTTCATCACACATCCATGTAGCTTTCATGCCTTTCATCACAGTTCCATGTAGCTATCATGCCTTTCACACAGATCCATGTGGCTTCCCATGCCTCGCATCACACATCCATGAAGCTTCCCATGCCTTTGGTGTAGATTCCCATGCGACAGGCCATGTAGCTTCCTTTTGGGGAGCCCTGTAACCGATGGAGACTTAGCCATATGAGATAACACTGCGTGCAATAAAGTCGATCCTCTTTACTTTCACATTAAATAGCTGTATTTAACGACACGAACAATATACACTTCGTTGTCAACTGGGGTGGGAAATATGGCTCTCAACAGCTGCAGAAAACTTATCCTGATGCATGGACATGAAACACGGACAGTGACGTTGAATAGTAGAAACGCTATGGAATCTATCAGATATGATTCTTCAGAACTATAAAGGATAATCTCATGGCCGCTGTAGAGACGTAATTCTATAGAAGCATGAATGATGAAGTCATGGATGCTGCAGATATTTGATTCTACAGAACTATGAAGGATAATGTAATGGCAGCTGTAGAAGCGTTATTGTATAGAACTATGAAAGATAATGCCATATAAGCTGCAGAGGTGTTAATGTGGAGAACTGTGAAGGATACTGTCATGGAAGCTGTAGAGCTTTTATGGTATAGAACTGTGAAGGATAATGTCATAGAAGCTGCAGAGATATGGTAGAACTATCATGGATACTGTCACGGAAGCTGTAGAGATGTTATTGTATTGAACTGTAAATAAAAATGTAGTTGAAGCTGTAGAGATGTTATTGATGGAACTATAAATGAAAATGTCATAGAAGCTGTAGAGGTGCTATTGTAGGTTCTTCGTAGAACGTTGCTCTCGTCACGACACGCACGACTTCCGGTCAAAATGGACGTTAGGCAGCGGCACTGTTCGAAACAGAGGCAAATTTTTTTGCTTCTGCCGGACGGTGGCCGATGCTTTTTTGCTCCATTTGTAGACTGGATATAGTTTCGTCGCCCAGCTTCTGAGTTGAATGCATGGCGTGACCCTGTGAGCTGCGGATTGCATTTGGAATGTTTTTTCGACTGTGACCAACGTGTTGGTGTGAATTGTAGATTCAGAAAATGGCGCGATGCCTGTCCTGCAATGTTGTGGTGCCCGTATGTGATTAAAATTGATCCCGTGGGCAACTGCTCATCTGTTGGCGACTTCTGCTTCAATCAATGATAAACTGCAATTCTAATACTGTGATAAACATTCTGTGTGTTTTTCGTTGACACAGGAGCAGAGCAAAGCTGAAACTAAGACTACCAGACTACCAGACGACACGCATGAAAATATCTTTTTCGCTAATAATTTTGAGAGCACTATGTGCTTTCATAACCACATTCGCGGAAGTCTGCTTCTGCCTTGTGTTCCGGATACGGTACCCTCTATCACAGTTGTATCCATGCCACCATACTGTTGACAAAATAGCTGAGCTTTCGGCACAGGATGCTGTCCATGAGCCAGTTCTCCGCAGTGTTCGTTTCATTTACGTTGTCCATGTTTTCTTCTTCCTGTTTGATGGTATTCCAAAAATGTTTCTGTTATATTTGCTACTACTAGACGAAGAATGTTACATATTGACAATAGACAAGTAAATCTTTTGTGTGTTTTGTTTCATATTTGTCAGGGAAATATATTAAAACCAAACGAAAAGTACATCAGGAGCTTCACAATATAATAAACGTAAACAAAACGTTAACTTTTCGGCTATGGAGCCTTTTGAGCACATACATAGTAAAGGTTAACTTTTCGGCTTTGTTAAGCACATACATAGATTAGACAATACTACACAAATACACAAAATCATTTGTATGTTTCATATTTGCAGCTTCTGGAGAAGTCTGTGGATCTATGTCGCAAAGAAACTGTCTAAGTAAGTCTTGCTGTACACAGTTCAGAGTGTGTCAATGTCCGCCAGGGATGTCCGGCGATGGCGGCTTTCACTGCTACCCTACAAGTGAGTGGCTACTAAAGATCATGTTTATTTGTCTCAGTAATTCAGTCAAATAGCCTGTCTGTCTGTCTGTCTGTCTGTCTGTCTGTCTGTCTGTCTGTCTGTCTGTCTGTCTGTCTGTCTGTCTGTCTGTCTGTCTGTCTGTCTGTCTGTCTGTCTGTCTGTCTGTCTGTCTGTCTGTCTGTCTGTCTGTCTGTCTGTCTGTGTCTGTCTGTCTGTCTGTCTGTCTGTCTGTCTGTCTGTCTGTCTGTCTGTCTGTCTGTCTGTCTGTCTGTCTGTCTGTCTGTCTGTCTGTCTGTCTGTCTGTCTGTCTGTCTGTCTGTCTGTCTGTCTGTCTGTCTGTCTGTCTGTCTGTCTGTCTGTCTGTCTGTCTGTCTGTCTGTCTGTCTGTCTGTCTGTCTGTCTGTCTGTCTGTCTGTCTGTCTGTCTGTCTGTCTGTCTGTCTGTCTGTCTGTCTGTCTGTCTGTCTGTCTGTCTGTCTGTCTGTCTGTCTGTCTGTCTGTCTGTCTGTCTGTCTGTCTCTCTGTCTGTCTGTCTGTCGGTCTTCCTATGTGAATGTATGAACGAAGAGATTTTTGAACGGATGCATAAATATGTAAAATAACAAATTATCACCGCCATATCTAAAGTTAGCTTGTAAATAAAATCCTAGGCTTTAAATTGCCATGTTTTCGTTTTATTCACTAAAAAGGTCATTCAATGCCAAGTAATTGTCCAAGGTATCGCATGTTGGTTAGGTGCGTATCCTTTACAGGACGTTGCAAAACCAAACCCACCTGCCCCTGGCTGTTGTGTGGTTTCTCTAGGCAAATTTACGTCCAGTAGTTTGTCACTGCTTACTGGACGGTCGGTTTTCTTGATACCACTGTCGAAACCAACGCAAGGAGCATGGCGTGCAGCTGGGATCGAACCCGGCATCCCGGCATTTCGAAGCATTCGCATTGACTTAGCCACAGAGCCGACGGTTTCGCATGTAAAAGCTCTATGTCCGTTTCCCATGAAAAGTAGATACGAGTGAAGATTACAGATATGGGGATATTGTGAAGAGCAAGATATCACTGAAAATATCGCAGAGTCGAGTGTTCGAGGGCTCGGATGGATGGGACACACTCAGCGGATTAAGGAAGACAGTCTTTAAGGATATCCTCTATGGTGAATTACAGATGGGAGCCGTGTTAGCGCAGTCGATGAGAGGCTCGCTTTCAAATCCAGCTGCGACTCCCTTCAGTCCACGGTCAGTGTTCGAAACCAAACGTCTCCAGGGGTTTATCAAGCCTCTAGGAAATGGGTACCAGAGTTGACACTCTGGGGTAAATATAGGAAAGTCGCCGTAGCTACAGAGTTACGTGCGAACGGCGACATAGGCGGACAATTCTTATCAGCTGTCCGTACTGATGGCAGAGTACTTATGGTTTATAACCGTGTGCAATGACGCTAGTTCACATCTCCCGACTTTACTTTTTTACCCCTAGGGTAGAAGGTATCAGAAATGGCCTCCACTAGAGTATACAGATGTGTGCAGGCGGGACATGAATGATACAGGTTCTGATGTTGATTCATGGGAACAAGATGTCATGGACTGCATTGCAAGGAGAAGAAAATGAAGGAAGGGAATATGAAAGAATGAGGCAGTGGAAGAGCATCTGAGCGTTTGAGAAAAAGCACATGAAATACATTTGATTGCAACAGTGTTCCTAAAATTTCACTAACTGTGGACAAATCTTCAGGTCTGGCTAGCCCCACTGGCCATCGTTAAGGGCTGTGACTGACAACCACTCTCCTCTACCTCTTAGCACCATGAGACATTGGCAAATCAAGATGAGACTAGCTCATGATTCAGCCCCGGAGACACGGACAAGCTGGGGCTGGGCATGGATTGAAAAGGATTCCCTCAATGAGTTTGTGTAATGTGACTGCAACCAGAGTATCGCCTCAGACATAGCGGAGATGAGCCGCACTGTATTATTTGCTGGACTTTGTACCCTAGAGAGCACGAGCATTGATTGATAAGAAACAAGATATATTGACTAATATTACATTTATGACTGGGTAGGGAAGGCAGGCACACCTGAGAGGGATAGTAAAGTCAAATCTGTGCGGGGATACAGAAATAAATACCTGTGTTGGTGATCTAGGAACAGTGGATTATTTCATTATTTAAAAAAAATGTGAGAAGCTAACAGTCATAAATGCTGTAGCTAGATGCGAAAAAGGCAAGAAACTAAAAAAAAAAATGTTTGTTTGAATGACGTCAGTATCGACATTAAAAAGTATATCCCCGTGAGGGTTCTAGGGCGCTATTGTAGGGAAAACAAGAATAGACCCACTGCCTACCCAAAAGCATGTCGTAAGAGTCGACTAACTGGGAGCTTCCGTCGAAGTCGGGTCGCATCTGTCTGAGAGGTAAGGAATCAGCAGTCTGCATACAAATGAGTCAGATCTGTAAAACGGATGCACACGTAACACTCAGGTTCTGGAACAGGACTGCAGTCTAAAAGTGGATGAACAACCAGAACTTTCCGCCAGAGTTTACAACTGCTTAACGCGAAGAAGAAGAAGAAGAAGAAGAAGAAGAAGAAGAAGAAGAAGAAGAAGAAGAAGAAGAAGAAGAAGAAGAAGAAGAAGAAGAAGAAGAAGAAGAAGAAGAAGAAGAAGAAGAAGAAGAAGAAGAAGAAGAAGAAGAAGAAGAAGAAGAAGAAGAAGAAGAAAGAGAAGAAGAAGCAGAAGATGAAGAAGAAGAAGAAAAAGAAAACAAATCGCCAAGATTGTGTTGAATATAAACAAGTTTTGAAATATTGCAATCGGCTTATCAACGTTCTTCGTACCATTGTTTACTTATGTGGATTTTCCATTTGTTTTTCCTATTCCTTCAGATCATTCTATAGTATAACACATCTGACAAGATATAAATATTGTTGTATGTTTCTTTTTCACCATCTCTATCTTGTCTTGTATTGCTGTTCTGCCTATGTATTTACACTATTTGGATTAATTATATTACAGTTTTAGACTAATTTTTTTTTCAAACCTTTTTTTAGTGTGTGTGTGTATGTGTGTGTGTGTGTGTGTGTGTGTGTAAGTGTGTGTGAACTATAGTAATTAGCATTCGAGAATACATTTATAAGGACTATGATGAAAAAACACGGGATGAATTTAAAAAGGAGTGAAGAAATAAAAGAAATGTCTGGGCAACCACTAGTATCAACAATTATAGGACAGAGAAGATGGGGCTACACTGGACACATCCTAAAAAGAAACCAGCAGAAATTCACCAAACAGGCAACAACAAAGGAGATAAGGGGATTAAAATGGCCAGGTGGCCCAAAGAAACCTCAAGACGGAGGTTGATAAGTGAGGCCAAAGCTGCTGTACTGGATTCCACCCATGATATTGAATAGATCTCAGAGAATAGAGTGGAATGAAGGAGTCGACTGCGAGCCTTATGTAATATATGAAGGCACAATAGGGTAATAAAAAAAAAAAATATATAGTTCTAAACCTCTTTTAGGTCACTAGTATTTACATTTATAAAATCAATGGTTTTTAGTTTTATGAAATCAATGTTGTTCTTAGTCGGCATTTGGGAAAGGTTCAGAAAGGACTAATGTGGCATGAGTGGATACCATTCATCAGTACGCCATAATTGCTAGGAATTACATGGATATACTGTCCGGGATATGTATGAGTGCGAGGAAATGAAAGAGCAAATTTTCTGTCTTCAAAATCAATAGCTACGGGAACAGGAGTATTGGACAAGGGATATATTCTAAAGACTATATGTGATTAAGTGTTGGCAGTAGACAGGAGATTAGATTAAATAACATGCGCAAAAATGTGTGAACAAGGAATTAAGTGTGGATCCGGCAAGGTGGAACAGATGAGAGGAATAGATCGGCGTGTGTATAATCATTGTGCAACGGGAACAGTTAGCATCTACACGTTACGTCATTTGCTACGGGAGACGGAGCATCTATGGGTAAGCCCGGTGTGCTATGATGTCGATTCTTAAATCAGTAAATCATTATATCAGTTATGTTTACTTGAGGAAATTAGTTATTTTTTTTTTTTCAATTTATAAAAATAAGCCTTATTTAGCCTTACACAACCAGCAGTATTCAACTATATGTGTGTGTGTGTGTGTGTATATGTATATATATATAATTTTTCGGCCATGTTATGAGAAGAATGAAAATAGAACATGTTGTGACCACTGGAAAGATCTGTGGAAGGAGGGATAGAGGAAGATATCGAGAGAAGATTCTTGACAGTCTTGCTGCATGGCATGGAGGTGTGTCGGCACACGAATTGATACATGCTGCAGGAGATCGTGGATAATGGAGAGGCATGATCGCCTACGCCAGTCGGCAAGGTACCTGATGATGATGATGATGAGGATAAATAAAGATATATCAATGAGCAGTGCTTTTAAGAATAGAAAGATTACACTGTCTTGTAAATAAACACATCTCAGAGAACCAGAAGCAGGGGACCGGGCGCTGGCTGCGAAGTAGGCACACTAAAGCGTGATAATCACCTGAACTGTATGAGTATGAAGAAGATACTACAAGAAATTGCTTCACACTGAAACAACCGACACTTAATTTTCTGTACTAAATCACGATCCAGATCTTATCGGCAAAGTGGTCGCCTATTAGCTTGCCGATAGACGACTTCGTCTGGACAATATTTGTCTCCCCTGATCGCATCAGCACTGCAAGAACGAACGAACGAACGAATGAACGAACAAACTTTATTTTCAAAGGGTTAAGAATTGGGCACACAGACCCGTCCTACATTCTGCTCTTCTGGCCTCACGTGCAATGTTACGCCTTTTGAAATGGCTCACGTAGCTTAGTCACAATTATAACCTATAACTCCCCCTTAGGGGATGCTGGCTTAACGTGACGATTTTTTTTTCTCTCCAGCAAAGAAGCAGAATGGAACGATCTTGCTATTCTTTCCTTCTATCGATGAGCAAAAGAAATACATTTTTATATCCTTTTGTGCTGTCACTGTCTATGACACCACCCCAACATCCCCCACCACAGGCTGGCAGGTGTTAGACATTAAAAAGCCATAAATCTCGACGTGATAAGGACGTTGTCATAAAGATGTTCAAGGGAAACCCCCTTGTAATGAAAAGACCTTATACAATATAAGACGGTTGCTGTGATTTTTTATCCTGTCGCTCGGTGCAAGAAATGGCCCTCTCCGATTGGGCGAACACTTGAGCTTGCTGTTTCAAATGTATCGACTGCCGAATGCAAAAGGGAGTCCACCCTACGAATATAGGTTTAATCAGAAGGTTAGTTGCTTATCCTTTACAAAACGTTGCAGAACCAACCTCGAGAGCCCCTGGCTGTTGCGTGGTTTTTCTAGGCAAATTTACTTCCAGTAGTTTGCCATCACTTGCTGCATGGTCGGCTTTCGTGATACCGCTGTCTAAACAAACGCAAGGCGCATGGCCCGCAGCTGGGATCGAACCCGGCATCCCGGTATTACGAAGCGTTAACATCGATTGAGCCACAGAGCCGACACCCTAAATTATAACTACGAACATGGGTTTAATCAGAAACAAATGGAAATTTTATAGGGATATACATAAGCTGTCTGCGTCTGTAGCTTAGGCGTTGGCGAGCAAGCTTCGTAATGCCGGGGTGCCGGGTTCGATCCCAGCTGCGGGCCTTGCGCCTTGCGTTGGTTTCGACAATGGTATCCAGAAGCCGACGGTCCAGATAGCATTGACAAACTACTGGACGTACATTTGCCTAGAAAAACCACAACAGCCAAAAAAATGCTGGAGTTGGTTCTGCAACG